TCCGTTTTCTTTTCCGTAAAATGGGGGTACTAACACTGGTGATATTGGGGAGCCCAGGGAAAGCTCTGGAACTGGGCTTCCCCGAGGCAGGGCTGAGTAAAGGTGAGGGGCGAGCTGAGGCGGCGGTCCAACCGCCCCCTGGCGTCCCCACGAAGGGCCAGCCCGGGAACCGAGGGTGCGGGGTGCGCCGCGGGGGGGGGCAGCCTGGGAGGCAAGGGGCCGCGGGGCGGCTGAGTCATCGCCTCCAGCGGGGCGGCTCTGTTTACCCTTTTCCTTTAAAGGGTTTATAGGAGCAGGAAGTGACCGCGGGCTCCGCCTGGGTTCCCAGGGCTGGGGGTGGGGCAAGCAGAGGGCTCCTGGGTCCGACCTTTGGACACCCCCAACTGTACCCGGGATGGAGCCTGGAAGAGCCCGGCCTCCAGGGTGGTGAGACCCCAAAGCGAACGGGCACCGGCGGGCACCGGGCAGGTTCCTGAGGCGCAGCCGCAGCTGGGGAGCCACATGGCTACAGCAGGAGCGGCGTAGTCCGCGTGCTGCTGCCCTCCCTGCGGCCCTGGGCCGGTCCCCTCGGCTGCCAGAGCCAAGGTGGCCTCAGGCCACTGCAATGCCGGGTGGCAGCTGCTAGTGACCTGGCCGTGTGAGGGGCCTGGTGAGGGTGGAAGCGCCCAGAGGTTTGGCACAGGCTGGGCAGGAGTGCCTGGTGGTCACTGTGCTTTCCGGCTGGCTGTGCAGGCCAGAGGGTGGGCCGGGCACACACGGCCCCTCAGAACAAGGCAGGACCTGGGAGGGGGTACATTCCTGTCACTGGGGCACCGGGCAGAGCTGGCCAGTCGTGGCTACGAAGGGCTCCAGTGGGCAGAGGCCACTGACCTGTCCTCCCCGAGCACATGGCTTCAGGGGCTATAGGGCAGTGGGAAAGCAGGACAAGCCACCGGGGACAGCTGTCACTGTCCCCAGGAGCCTCAAGGAGCCTCCTGGGTGCCCAGCGCTCTGCCCAGAGCCCTCTGAGCTGCCCACCAGTGTGGTCAGTGGGTCCTGGGCTCCAGGCACACCGCTGACACTGGCACCACTGCAGCACCCACTGTCCCTGACTGGCTGCTGCCCGGCCTGCAGAGGAGGGGAGCCCCTGGAGGGGCCCGCGGCAGGTAAGCCAGACCTGGAGGGCAGCAAGGGCTGGGTGCCGCATGCCCCCCAGCTTCTCACAGGTCCAGGGACGGCAGGGACAGGCTCGGGAAAGGGCTGTGGGCAGCCAGGGGCACCCGGCACAGCTCCCCGCTGTGGGCGGGCCTCTGGGAGTGGGCCAGGCTCCTCGGCGGGGGCTTCTGGGAACCGAAGGGCAGGCCTGGGGCCGGAGGTGCCTGCTCACCGCCTGCCCCCCAGGCCCACAGGCCCTCCTGTCGGGGTGACACCCTGGGGAACCTTGGGCCCACAGTCTCGGGGGGCTGTACCACAGGAGACCCAGGACGAAGCAGAGACAGGGCGTCCGGTCTCAGAAGCTGCTCCCACAGGCCAGCAGGCACCTGCCAGCTGCGCCCCCTGCAGGCAGAGCGGCCCCTCCCGCCTGAGGACCAGGAGCTAGGAGGGTGGGCCGGCCCACGTGGGATCTTGGGGGGCCCTCCCCAGGCCAACTGACATCCAGAAGCAGGTCCCTGGGCTCCCTGCGGTGGCTGCTAGCTGGAGAGCGAGGGGCCTCTGGCCTGTGGCCCCTCCACGTGCCCCCATTGCCGCCTTGGACCTGTGGCTGGCACCCAGGCTGCATCCAGGGCTCTCGGGGGCCCGCCTGAGGGGATCCCGCACCCCAGGCTGCAAGTGGCCTCAGCTGCCCGGCCAGGACCTCGGGTGCGGGCGGCCTCTCCGAAACGCCAGACGTCATCTGCACAGCGGGAGGCTGCGCCTCAGGCTCCTGCCCGACCGGCCCAGGACTAGTCAGGGCCCCACGCCGCTTCCTGTGGGCGGAGGGGCGCCCGCCTCCTCAGGGAAGTCCTTCGGGACGGGACGCAGGGCACCCCGGGTGCCTCCCCCAACTCTGCCGCCACGGTCGCCACCAGGCAGCCTGAGCCCGCCCCCGGCCTCGTAACACGGCCTCTCCCAGATGGATGAGGGGCGGCCGCGGCGCGGCCTCGAGCTCCGGCCTCAGGCTCACGGCGCCCGCCCTGCATCCGGCCCCGCCGGCCCGGCTTCTCGTGACCAGGTCCCGGTCCCGCGTCACTATCAGGCCTTTTCCTACCAGTGAAAATGAACAAAGCCCCACTGTGCGCTCCCACCCCCCGCAGGGGTGACGCCGAGGGGCCGCGAAGGGCCCCAGGCCAGGCAGGAAGAGCCTCCCCAAGGCCCGGAGGGAGCAGCCGTTTCAGGTGGCCCAGCTGAGGTCACCTGTTGCGGGGACCCAGGACCAACCCAGCCTCAGCTGCCCGGTGGCAGAGGGCCAGGCGGGGCAGCCCCCAAAGCCCAGGGGTACTTGTGACCACACGGTGCAGGCTGCTCACCTTCCCCAGGATGGGGGGGGGCTCCCCTCTCGGCCCCTCCTGCTCTGCTGGCTGACAGCTGGGTGGGACCAGGACGGAACCTGGCCCAGGAGCCTGTCTCCTCCCACCCTTCAGGCCCCCCCACGACCTGAAGGTGGGCCCTGGGCTGCTCTGGACGGTGCCCAGCCCACCCCGGGTCACTGGGGTCTCCCTGAGGCGCCCCAAGCATGTGCGCGGGACATGGGGCGCCACGGCTTCCGTCTCAGAACCAAGGCCCGGACTGCTGGGTGCCCCGAGAGGCCCTGGCCTGGAGGGTGGTTGGGGTGTGGCTTCTTCCAGCCTGGGGAATCCCCTGGGCGCCCCTGGGAGCACGCCGCTGGCCGTCAAGGAAAGTGACTTCCGCTGCCACAGCTGAGTCAGCGAGGCTGGAGGCCAGTGACTGGTGGTGACATCAGGGGCGGCTCCGCCCAGGGTACAGAGGTGACTGGCCCGGGAGGGTGCCTGGGCCTCGTCCCCCTGGCAGGGCGCGCCCGGGGCTGGCGAGGCCGCAGCTGGAGGTGGGCCCGAGGCCCTCAGACAGCCGAGGCTGCTCGCAGCAGGCAGACAGGTGTGGGCGGGGCGGGGCCGGGCCGCCTGGGGCCAGGCCGGGCGATGCCAGATTGCTGGGTCCTGGGTAGCACCTTCCCTCCAAGGGACAATCTTCAGCGCCATCACCCCGATTCTGGGAAGTCCGTCGCTTTGAGCTGAGACTCACCAACGCCCCGTGCTCGCTGAGGCCCCACCCCCAACCCCTCCCAATGGCTCCCGACCCCGTGGTGCCCCACAGCACCCCAGAAACTGTGTGAAATCCCTCCTGCTCCCCTGGGCTCAGCTGCTGGAAGGTCCACGGGCCTGGAGAGTCTCTGCCTGACCCCCAGCCCAGGGGTGGGGTGCTGAGGCTGGGGGTGGGCTCAGCAGCAGCAGCGGCCACTGCCACAGGCACGTCAAGACGCTGGCCCCTTGGTCGCAGGACGACGACGGGGCAGCGGAGGCCCAGAGCGCGGGAGTGGCCCCGGGAAGAAGCGGGCCGTGTGCCCCGCACCCCACCCACAGCCAGGGGGGCCCCAGCAGCGGGCACCCACCAGTGAGACCGCAGAGCCTGGAGTGGGGGGGCTCAGCTCTACCCCAGGGCGACAGCCCGCCACGCTCTACATGCCAAGGCTGTGGCTGCCCGAGGGCGGCCTGTGGGTCCGCCCCACGTGGCCGCTTGCTGCCCCCCCCAAGCGTGTGGACGGTGCCGCACTGCCTGCTGGGAGTCCCGCGGGGCCCTGCCGGCAGGATGGAGCCCCGGCCGGCCGTGGCCTGCGGTGCCCAGGCCCAGGTGCGGCCCGCACGCTGCCCCAGAGACGGACGCCGGCACGGACTCCGGTCTCACAACTTTAATAGAATATGCTAACTATTCTGTACAAATTGAAAACACGTCCTCAGGTACAAACAGGCGAGCGAGGCTGACGCACAGGCTGCTCGCTGGGGCCCGACCCGCCACAGGCACCTGGACGCGCCTGCCCAGCCCCCAGGAGCCCACAGCCCACCTCTGCCCACGCCCTCTCTGCAGCCGCCGCGACAGCTCTCGCCTTGGCGCGGGTGGGGGCGCCCCCACGCAGGCTGAGCCCCTTGCCGAGTGCGCGCCCCAAGCCCCTACAAGCGTGAGGAATAAATAAATACGGGGGGCCTCAGAAGCAGAGGCGGGGGCGGCGTGCACACGGCACCACCCGCTCACCCCGAGGGAAACCAAACCAAAGCAGGAACACGCCAAGGACACCAGGCCCTGCCCGCCGCCCGCTGCCCCGGAGGCCAGCACAGAGGCGGGGCCGCGGGCACCAGGCCGACACCCCCGCGCCCAGACCACGGCCGGGCCCGAGGGTGCGGGCGCGCACCTCCCACTGCGCAAGCGCGCTCGGGGCGCCGCCGTGCAGGCCGCGTGAAGGCTGGGGGAGTCGGCGGAGACCACACGGCTCGGCGCGGTCCGGGCGCCGCGGCCTGCTCACTGCTGCTTGCACTCGGAGGGCTGGCTGGGCTCCTTCTGTCAAGAGAGGACAAGCGGGTCAGCGGCCAGGGACAGCGGGGCGGGGTCCCGTGCCGGCTCGGACACCCGCAGGGCGCCCTCTAGGCAGCCGTCTCCTCTGTCGGGGACCGGGCGCCTCGCCAGGCTTCCCGAGCCGGCGGCAGCCTCCGCGCGCCGCCCACACCGAGCAGCAGCAGCTCCCCGTCTGCAACCCGCCCTCAGGCCACCCGGAGGATGGGAGGTCACCCGCCCTCCCAAGGGGACTCGCCGTGCTGCAGGACAGGCCGCGGGGAGGCGTCGCCCCGGCCCGTCACGGAAGGGGCCACTCCCGAGGCCCGTGGTGCCGCTGCGGGGGTCACAGCTGGCGCAGCACGGCCAGGGCCGCCGAGGCTCGGAACCCCCCGGGGCACCCGCATCTGTGCCCACAGAGCCGGCCTTTCTGCTCCCCCCAGGCGGCGCGTACACGGGAAGCGCGAGGGGCGCAGACGTGGAGGATCCACTGGGGAGCCTGGTCCCGAGAGAGCCCCCGTCTCCGGGTGACGAAGGGCAGGGACGAGCCAGGCCCAGGTCTGGGGCGGGGGGGCTGTCACACAAGCCCCTGGGGCGCAGGCAGGGCCCGGGGGCGGGACGAAGTCCAGCAGGCCACGTCACACTGTCCTTTGTGAGGTCGCGCTGGGGTACCCGAGTGGGTCCCACGGCGGGCAGCAGGCGGGATGCCCCAGGCAGCCTCAGGTCAGGAAGTGGGGTGCTGCCTTTTGTGGACAAGGGTAGACGCGAACTTCCGTAACTCGATTTGTAAAAAATGGGTCCACGTGCAGCCAAGGGGCACCCTGCAGGGGACAGCGGGGCGGCCCCACATCTGTTTGCTGGAGCCAGCTGTGCCCACCGTAGTCTGCAGAAAGGGTGACCGGGCCTCACCCACAGCCCATGCCCGCCCCCAGCAGGGACACTTGTGCTTCTAAGTCTGACGCTGCCGGACTCGGGCAGAGGCTGCTGAGGCGCGAGGGGGCAGGTCGGCGCGCGGGCAGGGTGGGGAGGGAGGAGCGCGCGGGCGGAGGGGCCAGAGTGCCAACCTCGCGGACGGCCTGGCGCTCACGTCACCACGGGCGCCACACCGGGGCGCTCACAGCCCAACGACTGCAGCACCTGACACCTGGACTCCACTAGCACCCTGCCCGGCCACTCCCTGGGGTGCGGACCATGCCCCAAGGAGGGCACACAGGCCGGGGCGGCCCCACCCCCACAGCCTGGACCTGCACGTCAGGCCAGGCCAGGCCAGGGCCGAGCAGCTCCGGCACCAGGAGGCCGCTTCCCGCCGCATGGCGTGCGGCCAGCGCTCCTCCCGGTCAGGACACCAGGGCCCAGGCGTGGGCCCTGCCCGCTGGCCCAGGAGGTGTCCCGGCCCCTGAGGCTAAAGGGGCCCGCCGGGCCCAGAGCGCGTACCGCAGCTGTCGAGCCTGATGCCGAAACCGGACGTCGGAAGGGGGCGGTCGGCGAGGGAGGGGCGCCGGCCACAAGCTGCGCCGACCAACAGCCGCTGCCCCGCAGGACCGGCTCCAGCAGCCACGGCGACCTGCCCCTCCCTGGGCGACTGGTGCGGCCGTGGCCTGCGCAGGGGGTGCCTGGACTCTGAGGGGCCCGCCGGTCCCTCCCCACGTCACCGTGCTACCCCGTGACACACAGGCTGACACCCAAAAGATGTGTGCCCCCACCCCCCCCAGGAGTCCTGAGGGGAGCACGCACCCAGAGGACAGGTGTGTAGAGCGCAGGGTGGGCGGGGACCGACAGCCGGGGCACCCCCAGTCCAGATAAAGGGGTAGGAGGGGCCCACAGCTGGCCAGAAGCGGCCATGTGGGCACGGGAAGGGGGAGCCAGCACACCGGCCCCCGGGGCCTCCCGCCCGAGAGCCTCCCGCCCGCGCCTCTGCCCCTGCAGCAGCTCACTCGCGTGTCAGCTGCGACACCCTCGCCCCGACCCCGGACGGACGGGCCACCCACCGCCCACCCCGCGGAACCCACCTTGGGGTTCATCTCCGCATCTTCCTCGTCTTCTCCCTCCTCGTCACCTTCCAGCTCCTGTGTAACGAGGGGCGAGAGCTGGTCAGGGACCCGGTTCTGTGGACTCACAGTCACAGCAGGTCAGAGCAGCAACCCGACGGAGGAGGGGGCAGCCGGCCCTCGCCACCGCTGGCCGTGGCGCGTCCTCGGACACACTAACGATGCCCGCCGCCACACCGTCTCCACAGGGAACTGCCAACAGGCTCCGACCCTGCTGACCTAGCGGGCCAACGGCCCTCCTCTACTGGGCACATGCACGGCCGCCCTCCGCCCCCCAGGGCGGACCGCTGCAAGGGCGGCATCCCACAGCAGGATGACCTGGGCCCGGGGTCAGCCCTGCCCACTCGAGCAGGGCAAACACCTGTGGGGAAGACCGCCCCTCGTGGCCGGCCTTACCTCCTCCTCTCCTTCCTCGCCTTCTTCAAACTGCAAAGAGCAAACACAGTGCCATCTACACGGTGAAGCGCCATCTGCCCCCCACACCGGCTGTGCACGGCCCTCACCCACAGGGCCGAGCCCTGCCCACTGAGCTGACAAGCTGTGCTCTGTCCAGTCGGGCGACAGCAGCAGGAGACCCCCTCCCCAGCTGGCCGGGCCGCTCATCCACGCCCACAGAGCCAGACATCACATCAGTACCAACGCCAGGTCCAAAGAGCCCCTGCCACCAGCTGTGTGGCACGAGGGGGCAAACCCGGGGCTCTGGGGGCGCGTCCTCCCGCCCGCCCGGGTGGGGCCCCGCGGCCCGCACGTACATTGTCGTCGTCCTCGATGGCCTCCCCCGTGAAGTACAGCACCGCCCGCGGGACGATCCGCTCACGGAAGAAGTGGCCAATTTCGAAGTCTGAGGCCAGTGTGAACTCGGAATCCTCATCCTGAGGAAAAACCACGGGTCAGCGTCGGCAGGAAGGGCAGCGTCCCCACTGTCCGCACGCGAGGGCCCGCCTCTGGGCAGGCAGGGCTCAAGGGGCCAGCCTGGGCCAGACACTTTGCTTCACCCCAGGTGCGGGGCCAGGAGCCGGCCGGGGGGCAGGGAGTGAGAGGGCCTGACAGGTGGGCCCCGGGGACCCGCGGCAGCAGCCTTCCGGCCAGGGCGCAGCCTTACCAGTGACTCTCCGTCTCCAGATGCTGGGGGAAAGCAGAAGAGACCAGCGTCACGCGCACGCCCGGAGCCACCCCGCTGCGGGCGTGCCCCCCCCCCCAGCCTCCAGGAAAGCAACGCCCAGGACAGACAGCAGCAGGGGCGTCTGGGGCGTGCTCAGCGAGGCGGCCCCGCCCGGGAGGGCCGGGAAGGGCACTGGAGGCCGCCCGCAGGGAGAAGCCCTGCCTGCTGGAAGCGCCTGGGCTGCGGCGGCGCTGACCAGCTTCATCAGCAGAGCGGCCATTTGCTGACCTCACTCTCCAGTGCCCGGCAGCACCACAGCCGGGACCACGGGGCGCCAGCCCCTCATGAGGCCAAGTGGCTGCGACGGCCTCGCCCCACGTGGCACGGCCAGGGCCACTGAAAAAGCTCGAGGGAGGACAGGGACTCGACAACCGCGCTCTCCTCCACCCCAGGCCTCCTCAGTTCCACTGTGGACCCCCCTTGAGCCTCCCACACCCCCTCTTCCCCACAATACTGTGGTAGTCGGACAGTCCCATCAGCCCAGGACGGTCCCCAAGGGGGACCGGGGTCGGGAAGAGCACAGAGCTTCCCTCACCACCCAGCACCCTCCCTTGTCTCCCTGAGCTTGATGTGGTCACCTGGTGACTTCACAAAGAGCCACAGTTGGCCCTCCCTGGTGGCCCAGCGGGTGAGGGCACGTCCTGGGTGCGCAACACTGCCCAGACTTCAGAGTGCGGTCCCCGTCAGGCATCACAGCCCGCGGGCCGGGTGCGCACAGCCGAGGCTCTGAGGAGGCACCCAAGGACGCCGCTGCGCTCGGCGCCCGGCCCGTGGCCAGGTGAATGCACACGGCTGACTCGGAGCCACATCGACGGCTGCTGTGCCCCCCTCCCACGCGCACCCGCGCCGCCCAGGCTCAGGAGATGGCCACGCAAGGGCGAGACCACGGACCTCTGGCAGAGGGTGGCGGTCAGCGAGGGCGCAGTCCCCAGCCAGGGGCCCTCCCAGGGCAGCTCAGCTACCAGCCCCGGCGCTTCCTGGCCTCACACGGAGGGTCAGCGGGAGGAGTCCGGCGAGCCCTGGCCGCCGACAGGCTCTGCCTTGAGGCTCCTGACGGGACCCGACTGCGGGGGCGCCCAGGGCACACAGGCCCCTGCGCCGGCTCGGCGCGCAAACAGGCAGCGGATGGGCGCGGAAGCGCAGTTGTGGAGCAAAGCCCGGTGCCCACCCAGGGCTCCCAGCCACCCGCCAGCCCACTCTGTCACGCACCTTTCAGCGGGCTGAAGAAGTTGAAGAACGAGTCGCTGGGCACCTGCCTGGTGACAGTCCTGACGGTGCCTCGGCCCTTGTGCTTCTGCTTCTTCCTGACGGTCTTGACCGTCACGTTCTTCCCCTTCTTCCAGTCGATGGCGCACCTGTGGGCGGCCCCATGGGGAGACCGTGATGGGCGCCCCCACATAGGCGGCCGCGAAGGAAGGTACCCACCCCGCAGGTGACGGCCAGCTGGACCCCGCGGCCCGAGCCCTGCCCGCCCCAGCGCGGGTGGCGAGTAAGGCTCACCGTCTCCACCTGAGAGCAAACCTGCTCCCCGGACACTCTCAAAGCAAGAGGAGCCACCCAAACCCTATTGTCCCTGGGGCTCCACGGCCGAGGTCACCCAAGAGCTCGAGCGGCCGGACAGCAGCGGCAACGGCCCCACCCCACACCACCCAAGCCCGCACCCAGCCCCTCAGGCGCCGCTCGCTCGGGCCTCGGCACCAGGCACAGCCGACCGCCACCACCCCGCGTGCCGGGGCCGCCAGCCCGCACCCGCAAGGGGACGGACCCCGAGCTCCGACCCCGGCACCTGCCAAGGAAGGCGTGAGGTGCAGCCCAGCACCTGCCCTCCCACCCCAACAGACCGCGTCCACTGGTCTCCTGCCTCTGAAGCAGATCCAGGCCTTGCGCTTATACCCACCTCTCCGCGTCGAGCCCTATCACGGCTCTGCTTCAGCTAAGACGGTGAGGCGCGTCCTTACCCGTCACAGTCCACAATCTCGGGGCCTTCAAAGGAGAAGGGGTCGGCCTTGTCGGGCTCCGACTTCATCTTGTATGTCTTCGTCAGGACCGGGTTGCTGAAGTAGTCGTTGGGTCCGAAGTGGAACTCTAACACAAAAGACTGGGAGCGGGAACCAAGCGTGAGCACCCGCCCGGGGGCGGCCTCTCCATGGGCGCAGCCACACAGAGCTGTAAAGACGGCAGACAACTGACAGGTGACCTAACCGGAGATGATGAGCCCCAATGTCCCCAAAGGGCGCCTGCCCACCCGTCCTGGAGCCGGGACAGTGGACACAGGGCGGCCCCAGGGACGTGCCCTCTCGTGAGACAGCTGAGACGCGGAGGGGCCCGGGAGCAGACGTGCGGTGCGGGGGCGGCGAGGCCTGGACACAGATGCACCCGCAGCACCGAGAGCCCAGGCCGGCAGCTCTGGCTGAAGTCTGAGGGCCGCCTCCAGACGGCTCTTCCTCTGGCGCCATGGGGTGAGGGGTGGACGGACACCCCGGCAACTCTGACCAGACCCCCAGCCCCCGCTGTGCGAAGCGCAAACAGGGCACCCGCCTGGAGAGCACAGCGGCCCCGAGAGGTGGGCCCAGCCACACCCCACCCTAAGGCGCAAAGCTGGGGGCTCCCTCACCCCCTGGAGCGGGAACGTCTCAGACGCTGCCGGCAACAGAAGCGCAGGGAGCCGTGGACAGGGAGACCCGCCGGGCCGTCACCACCGTCTCCCAAGCCACCTACAGCGAGCGCGCGTGGCGCCAGAGGCGGGGCATGGGGAGCCGGCACGCCTGCTGGCGGGCGCAGAGAACAGGACCCCCCGCCCCGCAGGCGTCTGGGCAGGGAACCGGGGAAAAGGAACTGGGCCCAAGGGACGCGCCAAGGTGAAACACCTGAGCTACACCTCACACGCAACCCTGGCAACGTGCCCCGAGACACTGCACGGATGGGCAACGGGGCCCCCAGCGCCAAGGGAGCCGGAGCCCCACCGCCAGGCGCCGCAGGCCAGGGGTGCGCACACGGCCCAGTAGAAGCAGATGCGCCGCCAAGCCGTGAGTGGGCACCACCACGAGCCTGCACCCCACAGTGAACAGGCGGGCAGACGACCCAGGCCAGGTCGGTGCCCACCCACAGCGCCATGACCTGTCCCCAGGGCCTGAGACCGAGAGCCACTGGTCAGTCAGTCGCCAGCCGCCGGGGTTACTGTGGCACTGGAATGGAACGCACCAGCCACGCCAGGCTGACAGGTCACGAACAGTGCTGCCTGACACCAGCCCGCTGGCCCGTCAGGCCTGTCCGCAGCTACGCCGCAGAGGCCTCCGCCTCCCAAGCGCGGCGCAGCCGCCAGCCGCCCCTCCTGGGCCGCACTGCACTCACCATGGGCTGTCCGGGGTCTGAAAACTTCACTTTGATGTCCTGCAGGTGCTTCAAGATGGGCTCGTCATACTCCTGCACACCGAGAAGAAAGATAAAGGTTGCAGAGGCCCTCGAAAACCCTCAGCTTCCTCGCCCAGCCACCACCCCGAGGCCCTCCCAGGCCCAAGGGCCAGCTCCCGCAGCAGACCCGGCCAGAGAGCCTGACAGGACCTGGGAGCAGCTTGGTAACTGCCCATTTCAAAGCCCTGCTGAGGGGGATCTGGCGCCTGGGCCAGGGCCCCTCGTGCCAGGGCACCCAGCTCCTGGGTGAGGGCTCCCAGGCGTCGCCCGGTTTGCTACTGCAGCCCGAAGGCAGAGTAGCCACACTTCCCGGCTGAGACCGGGGCATGACCCACAGGAGGTTTGGGGGAAAATGAACCCCTTTAAATGCATCCAACTGTGTTACTCACAACTCCCAACCAAGAAAACGTGAAGGACGAAGCCAAGCGCCCCCAACCAGCAGCCTAGTCCCCGGGCCACACCCTGCCCTCCTACCAGCGAGGCCAAGCAGCAGGCCATGCAGCTCCGCCCAGTGCTGGCTGGGCGTTCCCGGGGGGCAGGAGTCCCCACACCCTACAGAATTTGACAAGTGGCCCCGGCAACTCTAGCCAACAGGGTGAGAACCGGGCTCCGACAGAGTGCGGCGTCCGGGCGTCTCCAGCGCGGCACCGGCAGCCGCCTGCAGGCACGGCCTCTCCTGAGCCCCACCCTCCCGGGACGCTGGCGGGCGGGAGGCGCTGGGAGCGGCCCCGCAATCTGCAGGGAGAGCAGCGCCGCCCCCCACACGTCACACGGGCGGGAGGGAGCCCCATCCACGCGCAACGCCCACCTGGGGAGCGCGCGCCCGCCCCCGCGCCGTGTGGGCCCATCCGGGTAGGTCCGAGGCACGGGGCCACCTCTGGACTTCCGAGCAAGGGAAGCTCAGGCCAGTCGGCGGGCTTCCGGCAGGTTTTACTTCTGTGGTAACTGGGGTCAGGGAACGTCAGCCTTGCTTCCCTCTAACTGGCTCACCGCTCCCCCCCCCCACAGCCTAATAAGGAGGGGAGCCCCGAAAGCCGGCTGCCCCCCCCCAACGGGCCAGCGTGCACACAGCAGCAGGCCGCACGGGCCGCCAGCGGCCCCAATGCTCCCGCGGGCAGCCATGCGCACCTGGACCAGCTCGCTGAGCATGTCCACGTTCCTGAAGATGGTGAACCAGAACTCGGGGATGCCTCTGGGGTTGGGCTCCTCTGCGGGGGCGGCCTCCTTCTCCGCCACGACGGCTTTATCTCTCACATCTGCCTGGAAAGGCGACGGAGCAAAAGCGCGCTCACCTCCCAAGCAACGAGTCGCGGGCGCCACCAGGGGACGCGGCCCCGCACCGCCCCCCTCAGAACGCCCCACCTGGCCTAGGGTCTCCAGGGGCCACGGCGCCCGCCCTCTGCCCAGACACAGCCCCCTCAGGAGGCCGCGCTGACCCCGCCCAGCACGCCACGCAGACTCACGGCCAGCTTCTCTGCATCCTCATCCTCGCTGTGCCACTCGGCCTCTGCGTCCGTGGGCTCCACGTCGCCGGTGACGAACTCCCTCCTCTAGGGACAATGGGGCTTCCTCAGGGGCCGGGCAAGCCGCCACCCCAGCTGAGCGAGTTTGGGAGCGACACCTTGTGCCACCTGATGCCTCTGCGGGCTCGCCGCCAGGCTGAGGGTGGGACCAGCGACCCCGCGGCGCCCGGGGCGCACCTTGTCAAAGAGAGGCTGGTACAGGGCCGCGTACTTCCTCTCCAGGTCGTGAACCTCCTCGTAGAACTTGGCCTCGATGTGGGCACACTTCACCTGCAGCTGCTTCAGCGCGTTGATTCTTCTTTTGACGGCTTTAGGCAGACTAAAAGGGACCGAGGAGAGTGGGCACGCCAGCCAAGAGGGACGGCCATCCGCTCTGCTGCAACACGCCAGGGGCCCCGGCTGTCTCCCGAAGGAGGTCCTCGGGGTGATCAGGAACAGTCATCTGCCGTCCCCAAAGCCGAACTGCAGAGAGGCTCCAAACGGCGCCCTGCTGGCCTGAGCACCCCCACCCCGGCCCCTCCACAGGCCGCTGGTTGACGCCAGCACAGGGACAGGGACGAGGCAGGGGCACTTGGCACGGCCGAGTAAGGCCCGCGGGGTCCCCACAGAGCGCCTCGCTGCCGCCCCATCCACGGTGCCTCAGGGAAAAGGGTCTGCCCAAGACCCCACCCGAGGGGCGCAGAGGCCGGCTGCGCAGCACACAGGCGGGGGACAGCCCCGTGAACAGCCGGCGCCGCCCCTTCCCTGCGTGGGCCACCCCGCCTGGAAACCCCCCGTCTCATGAATCTCCCGGCGCTGCAGAAATGGCACCCTAGCCCCCAGGGCCCTTCTCTCCAGACGCCAGCTGTTGGGTGCCCGCCCCGCCCCGCACGCTTCCTGCGGGCCGGCCTGGGAGCCAAGTGCCGCCCGAGCCTGCAGCAGACGGCGGCGACAGGCCG